ATTTCCCCACTCCCACAGACAAATTTTATTCATATAAGGATTAGTTAAGACTTTATAGAAGATTTTTAAGTATTGTTGTGGCTGTACTAAGAATGGTAAGTAATAATGTGTTGTTTTGGTGCAAGGAATATTGTGCTAGTGTTTGTGGCTAGCTAAGTTTAAAATAAGACAGATTGAAGACCAGACTTCCCCACCCACATCCCACCATTTTGACCTTGTGCCACATTTTTTTTGTATTTTAGACAAAAGAAACATTATTTTCCTCCACGATACCTAACATATATACTCATGAATAGATTGCATTTTTTTTTTATCAAAAATTTCACAAAATATTAGACGTGCAACTTATCCACTTGACATAAATATAAAACAACACTATCATCATGATTTCTTGAGAAATCAGAAATGATATCCATAAACAATAATGGTTTTTTTCCATATAGAAACAATTTATCTATCATATATACTGACTCACTGCTTTAAATTTACCTGGTAGATTCAGTGATAGAGTTGGTAGCCAAATTTATATCTTATAATTTTAATTGTTGCAAACACTAATCATGAGTAAAAGAAAGAATTATAAAACGGGTTTTAAATTAAAAGTACTAAATTATACAGAAGAACATGGAAATCAATTAGCAAAAGTGTATTAATAATTGTAGGTTTTGAAATAAAGGTACAAATAAAGGTAGATATCTTATAATTTTTACAAAGTGTTGTGTATAGTGCGACCTATCTGCAAGTCAACAGTAAATCATCAGTTATTAAGCCATAAATAATGGGTGCAACCTAATCCGCAAGTATATACGGTAGACTATGAATTTAAGTGCAGTACAAGATTTGCAGCATTTTACATATATATTTTTCTGGCACTTCTTGCTTGCGGAACTCTCTTCCAGCTTTTTGGTTATTTCCTGCCAAGTTTGATCTTCAAAAATTTAAATGCAAGGTCAATCGTTAGCTGATGTCTTAATTCCTATTCTTTTATTGTTGTCACTCATTAATAATGTCTTTCTCTCACTTGCAGTAACAACAACGTCTTAGTAGCTTTATTGCCTTGCTTGGGGTGAAATGATTAAAAAAAAAAAAAAAAAAAAAAAAAAGGGAGAAGAAAAAGCAAGTACATTTTGCTAGGAACAGAAATTAGATTTCACATGTGCTTGTAAAATATGATATTTTTTTTTTATTTTTTTTTTTTTTTTTGAATATTTATGCAAGAGCCAAGTATCAACAATAGAGAATTTAATGAAGTAAATGAATTTGTGAAGGTGGGGGGAAGGGTAAAGTAAAATATAAAATAAAACTACTCACAACTGCAAATTAGAAACTGACAGATGGTGGGAGAGCAGTAATGTTTGCTGTCATAATATTCAGGGCCCTGCTAACATTTTTAGGGCTTGGGGGGGGGATTCCAGTGATTACTTGCCTTGCATTGGATTCTGATCAGTTCAAAAGCGAATTGGAGTGAGGGAGAAGAGAAAGAGTTGAATTTAATAAAAAAAAAAAAAAAAAAAAAGAGGAAGAGGAGAGCAAGGAAGAGGAGAGAAAGGAAGAGGAGAGAATTTGCTAAATATGAGATAGAAGAAGAGAAATGAATTTAAAAATAATTTAGAAAATAAACAAGTGAAGAAAATAAGAAAAACAAACAAAAAAATGGGGGAAAAAATGCCAAAATTGATTAAATCAGACAAAATAGCATCACTGGAATTACATGTTTGGGCATGACAACATTTTTCATCTTACATTTTAATTTGTTATCATTTGCTTCAAATTAACTTGTTTGCAAGGTTTTTATAAAGAAAAAAAATGCATGCTCAATACAAAAAATAATTTTTTTTTCTTTTTAACTGTAAATAACAAATATCAACACTAAATGAAAGATAAATGAAGAAATTTTTATTAATGATGTCGTCCTTGGATGTGTTGGTAGTGTTTATTAGCACAAAAAGTGAAAAAACAAACCCAAGTTGAAATTCTGGCCTAGTTTGCTGTATTCACTTTCACACTAATGCCCTTGGGAAAAGTATAAAAAACCATCTCTTCTTCCCAACTCATCTATGTATTAATTAGCAAGGTAGACTGGGTTTTCTCACCTTGGGTGGTAGATTAAGAAAAGGAAAACTGAAACTGGGAAGGGGCTCTCCCTCTCCAGACTAAACGACAGCCAATGTCATTCAACTTGAAAGCTTACCTTTGGTCACAGACACCTGGCTGTTGATTAGATCAGAGGAACCCTCCTCCCTGGATATCAACTTCTCAATCTCAGAAGCCCTCTATCAACCACAATGTCTGCATTCACAGCTACAGAGACCAGTCTACCCTATTAGATGACTAACCATAACCTCAGAAGAAAGCTCATCTATTACACATTTTTTTTTTAAGTCTATTTCCATTCAAAAATATAAATGGTCATAACCATAAGTCTGTATTGATTGACCCAAGGACTGAACTCACAATTGCTATATCACCAAGTTCACAATCCAATATTCTAATCTACAAGGCAACTGTCCCATAGGACAATCCTGAAGCAAACTCAACAGAAACAGAGTGAGCAATAACAGTACTAAATAAAAACAAGACTAGATGTCCCTAGACATGGACAGCAGAAAGAGAACAATCAACTGCCATAGATTAAATAAAGGGTTCAGTTTGAAATTGCTTGATGGTTACTTGATTGATAGGACACGTGAACAAAGCTGGTGGATAGGACGTCTAAAATGTTGTGATTACAACAAAAATGAAAACTCAAGTCCAAATGTAAATAATGATAAATCCTTATCTCAGAAATTCAGCCAGAAACTTTTTCTCTACAATTCTTAATCATTTCATGATTATTTTTTTCCCCTTAAATCAGTATCATCCCATGCAAGGCAGAAAAGCCACTAAGATACAAGGGTTTACTGAGTGTGGAAGAATTAGGAACAGAAATATTAATAATGAGCAGCGAGAGGAAAGAGTAATCAGGAGGACAGTAGATAGTGATTGACATTGCATTTAAATTTTTGCAGATTAAAGTTGGCTGGAAAGCATGGGACTACAAGTAACACAAGCAAGAAGTGCGAGAAAACTGTTAGCATAGAATTTACAGCTACATCTAACCAACTGTAAATTGATGAGATCTCGATGCCAGCCCAGTACTGTGCTTAAATTCAAAAAGTCTAGGTACCATAGCAAAGACCATTATCTATTTGTAAATATTACAAAATGTGGCACAAGGCCAAAATGGGGAAAAGGACAGTCTTCTTCTGTCTTAAATTTTAAATTTAACTATGATCACTAACCCAAATATACAACAATATTACTTGTACTAAAACAATGCATTCTTGATTATCACTTACAACATCCATCATAATGCCTCAATGTCTCTATGAAAATCCTAACTAGTGCCCATAGGGGAGGGGAATAAAATACCAATTTTAAAAATCTAAACCCCCAATAAATATTTACAAATAGCAAAGAGCTCATCTGAGCAATTACCATGAAATCATTTATAGAAAAGGCACATGGAAGTAACCTTATGATGGTGGGAAAGTGGCTGAAACTGAGCTACCAGATCAGGATCAACAATATTGCTGATTCTTCTTTGGTTTTTATCAAGGCGCTCAATTTAAATAGCAGGGGCACTGGACCATATATGGCAGCAATATTCAAAGCATGTGAGAATGGTAGACTTATAAATATGCAAGATAGATTCTGGAGAGAAAAATTGTTTCGCATGACACAGTGAATCAACTTTCTTATCAGCCGACCTATTTATTATTATAAAATGCAAATGAACTAATCTGAGGAAAAAATAGATATCGATTCCACCCTGTCCTTATATCCGCCTAAGTTGCACTTAGTAAAACATGAGTCAATGAATGTTTTTTTTCTTTATCCAATGAAAATACAAGGTCAGATGGCTTCAAGCACTGGAGGTGATGAATGCATCAAAAGCAAACGAGTTGAATAAGGAACATAAATAAAGTTTGTCTAACATTCAATATAAACCCTTGTGAAAATTAATTGAAATAACTGCTTTAGTTTCCTTTCTTTCAACATATGGTCAGTTTTAAACCCACTTGAGTGAAAGGGTGGAATCGATTTCTATTTTTTTCCTCAGATTAGGTCGTTTGCAGTGGTGTACAGTAATATGAATCTTATTTCGAGGTGTATGAGGAAATTTGTTTGGCCTTGAAAAATATTACGTCATCCGTGATTACATCAGATTTTTATCACACCCAGACACTATTGTCTCAACTGTCAATTAGTTGTCCTACAACCATTGTCTGCAATGGATGTTACTCGAAAGAAGTGTATGAAAATTGTAAAGTTGCACAAACACAATGGCAAGCCTTACCAGTGAACAATAAAAGTACTATAGACTGGCCGGGAAACTCTGGATTTAAATCCATTTGAGAATCTGTGGTCAATCTGCAAGGAATGACTTTGTGAAATGGACATACAAATAATTTATGTGCATTGGATCATATTTCATTAGAAAATATGAAAAAAGTAAATAATGATGGAATTATTCATTTTGTTTCAATTAATTTGCACAAGGGTATATCATCCAAGATTTTTTGTTCCCCCACTCAAAAAATGTATAAGGATTTTACATGCTTGTGGGTCTTCATAAATTTTATATTATTATTAAAAAGAAATGCGGAAATAAAGAAATAGAAACACATTTTAAAACAATGTGAAAACATGAAGACATGAAATACATAGAATGTTAGACGATTACAATTTAAGAATGAAGTACAAACTGTACACGACATCCTAGAAAGAAGGCACTGTATCTCATTTGATCTGTGAAGTTAAGCAGTGTTGAGTAAGATCAGTATGGAAATGGGTGACCATTTATGAACATCCTGTACTGTGGCCTTGTGCCAGACTAAACAATGCTTAGTAAATTAATTATTGTCCATCCACCAAGTCTTCTTAGGAATCTTCAGCTAGCAGACAATCTGAAATGACCTGACAAATGCACTGACAGTTCTTAATCTGGCACTACTTACCTAAGTCTATGAGCAATATATGCAGTTGCAAAAACAAAGACGAGTAGTGGTGGTGGTGTGAGTTGCGGCAGCGGCGGCAGGAGGGGGGAGTAGTGAATGGTAGTTCTTCCTTTGAATGTGTCTTGCAGAAAGAGTGAGAGAAGGAAGAAAGAAAAGCTAACAATGTTGACATGGTAAGGGTTGATACCCACTGCACAAGGAACTGCCTTGTCAACCAGGAAATGAAGACACACACACACACACAAAATATATTTTTGAAGAAAGTTTGGTACATCCCCCAGTACCACCACCCTTGTGCTTAGAGAGCAAGTGGGTCAGTGGCAGCAGATGGTTGGCATCAGGTGTAGGGACAATGAGTGCACTTATAGCGCCAACCAAAATGCACAGTTCATTGTAATAGGCAGACAGAGGGAGAAAAGAAAAAGTGAAGAAATATTCAAAGTCAAATTTGAAATGGAATAAGACACACTGAAATCAACATGGGCTACATTATGTCTTTTTCTTTTTATTTTCTTTGGTTTTTTTTTTTCTCTAGACAAAAGAATACTTGATAGAAGATTTCACAATTGATTACTTTTTTTTTCTTTTTTTTGACCATAAATTTTTATTTATTTTTTTGACTATAAAATGCATTTATTCCCCTGGTCAAGATGCTTAAGCATTCAGGTGTGTGCGTCTCAAACTCTCACATTTGCATCAGGGCAAAAAGCATAAAACAAAATCTCATGCAAATGCCTACATTGTCATGGTGGCATATATAAAAAAATAAAAATACAGGTTTTTGCATCAAGTGGCCTGCGTGTTAAGATATCAATCTATCTATTTATCTAGACACTGATTACTAAATCATTAAACTTCACATTAAAAAAAGCAAGTAGATAAACATTTTTTTTTTAAATTTTTAATTTTTACATATTGTATTTTCTTGTGCATAATATGACTTGAGTATACTACAACTTTGTGTTTCTGATGTGACGAAATAACCTGCCACCCCCATGAGTGGCAGCACTATAGGTAGTACCACCTATAAGTATCCATGAGGACAGAGGACAGGAGAGTCGAACTGGGATCTGCGAGACTAGCGGCCTTCCAATAACAGCACACACACACAACTGTACCAACTTGCGATGACCATGCACATAACTATTATTTCCTTGCTTGTTGTACTGGTTTCTACAATAAACCTGTTACTATTTATCCACCATGTTTGTCCATTCCATATTCCTATTAGCACAGAATATAACAGTTTCTAAAGCTAAAAACAGAATAAATTTCATCCTTTAGGATAATGCAATCCTGTAGTACAGCCATCTTTATGTAATTTCTTCTGGAAAAGTTGTACCACATTATCTATCACAATGTCGTACATATAGTCAACAACAAAATTATTCGTACACCCATCAATTCTGAATATTTTTATCCATTTCTCAGAATCTAATGCCTGTAGGATGCAGGTTTTTTATATGTTAATAAGCACAAAGAAAGGAATATAAAACTCAATTTTCAGAACAATAGGTTAAATACAACAAATTTGACAGGGGAATTATGCAAAATATGTATTTGTGTGTATATATATATATATGATAAAAAATATAGTTTTAACGCAAGCTATAATTAGGTGTAGAAGTGCTCAATATCTAATATAAATATAAAAGTGGACACCGAGGTCAACACCCAGTGGCGACAGTCTATTTTATGCTTAAATGCAATCTTCAAGCCATGAAGTTTGCATTTAAGCATTTTGTAGCCCACAACGTCAACCAAGAAGCTGGTTGCTACTAAGAAAATGGGAAAAAATATCCGTGCAAATGAAGAAGAAGGAGATCACTCAGAAGCACAAAGAAGGTACCCGTGTTTCTGACCCTGCCAATTTATATGGACGTTCAGCATCAACAATTTGCATTATCCTAATGGACAAGATAGAAATAAAAACAACAAAAAAAGCTTGATTTAGCCAAGGGAGTTAGCATAATTACTAAGCATCATCCCCAAAAAACCCGAGAAGATATTGAGAAGTTGTTGGTGTGGTGATTCTGTGTCTGAAGATATTATATGTACAAAGGAAAGGGCACTATATGCGGATCTTATCAGATAAAATACCAGGCACATCTTGTGATGATGAATATGCATTTAAGGTAAACTGAGGATGGTTTGAAAGATCTAAAAAGAGAACCAGCATCTGCAAGTACAGTGAGACTTGGGGGGGGGGGTCTGCGTGCTCTGATAAAGCTGCCTTGTTTCAAAGGTGTTTTGAAGTGACCAAAAATACAAACCTGACCCTAACAGAATTTTGGAAGGATCACTTCAATATCCTAAATTGCTTAAATTTCACTGATAAAACCTGGAAAGGGGTCACAGAGATATATTTATTTACATTATTTGTGCATAATCTTTAAGAAAGTACTTTAATTTTGTATTGATATAAAAACCAATAAAATCATATTTTAATATGATTTTATTGATTTTTATATCAATATTTTTAGGGCTTGGAATAAATTAATTTAATTTTTATTATTTTAATGGGGAAAATTATTTCAACATACAAAAGTTCCAGATACGAATACACTCCTGGAATGGATTAAATTCATAGGTCAAGGTTCCACTAATATATGAAGAAATATAGTTTCAAGATGTGCTATATTTATGGAATAAAGTGCTCAATATCAGAGACAGTGTGTATGTAAATATAAAAGTGAACAATGAAGCATATGGGGACAATCTTTCTTTGCTATCATACACACACACACACACACACACACATTTCTGCTAAATGATTGTCAGTACATGAAACCGAGTCAGACTTGACAATTGCATTTAGCATGAAACAGTCTGTTGCCTCTGAGTGTTGACTTCAATGTTCACTTTTTATACGTAATAAATATATATATACATATGTTAGTATTAAAAAAAAAAAAAGAAGCATTTGGCAAAAATGTGTGCGTGTGTATGTACGATAGCAAAGAAAGATTGTCCCCACCTAGGTATATTAGGCCGATGATGGACACCTCAGCATGGTGTAATGGTTAGCAAGCACGTCTCGCTAGATCAGTTATGACTGAAAAGTGAGTTCGGTCCTCACTAGGTGCCCCATACTTTCGGCCTTGTGCCACATCTAAGCTATGCTTAGAAAATAACTATATTAGGCTGATGAAAGAAATTGGAAGGATAAAAATTTTTTTAAAAATCATTCATAATTAAAATCATCAAATTATTAAATATTATTTTTATTATTATTGTTTATCAAAAAAAAAAAAAAAAATTGTGATTTTTAACATCACCTTTTTTTACAACACTTCAGCTACAGAACGCCATACAGGTGGGTGGTTCTGTCAATGGTACATAAGTAAAAAACAAATATCTTCAAAAGTGATTCTCGTAAAAAGGTAAAATGAAGAGAGTTGTGAGGTGAGGAGAGAGACAATGAATTATTATGCAATTGTTAAGCCCCAAACCTGATAAGGAGAGGTAAAAAAAAAAACAAATAAATAAATAAAAAAAAAAAAACAAATAAATAAAAAGATCTTCTTGTAAAAGATTTCTGTCTGCAAGCAGACAAGAGAACCTTTCAAAAGCAAAAGCCGGCTTTTAAATCCACTTATTCCTGACCAGATAAATAAATGATCTTTGCCAACCATTCCACTGACTTTTTATCAAGTGAAGGTGACTTGAATATTTGATGAAGAAAGAAAGAAAAATGAACAGAAAGAAGCTGCCATGAATATTCTCACTTGATACGTAACAAGATGAGATATACGGATGGCGTAATGGCGAGCAGCTTGGAAGGTGAAGTCAAGAAGCAGAGTTCAAATCCTGGGCTGAGTGTGCCATACTAACTTGTGCACAAATACCCTTGGGAAAGGCATCAATCCATATCTTCTGGTATAGCTTAAACAACAGGGCAGATTTTGATAACTTGCCTTGGCTGGCAACTAGTCTAGGAAAAAAAACAATTCTGAATTCAAAATTCAATCAACTGAAGTTGTACAAAGATGATTATGAATGGAATGCAGATACTAGGTCTGAAAAACAAAAAACTGATAGATTTCAACACCTATAGATAATCCCACTGGAGAAGGATTATCCATAATGCTGTTGACACCAACAAGCATGGGGGATCCATGAAATGTGGATGGATCTTTTTTATTATTATTATAGTCTTGGAAACAAATACAAACAGAATAATAAGACAGTTTAACAATCCAGCTGTCACATTTATATAAAAAAATACTGTATATTATTTTCTTTTACACAATTATTCACTCAATACAAGGCTCAGGAGCCACTCAAGGTAGAGGATTACTTAATGGGAGGTCGTTTCATGGACATAAGCACTGTAGAAAATATATATGTATAGGAAAGATAACAGTTGACGCTAGACTTGAAGTTAAGATTGTAGTGACGAGGAAGCATCCACATGGGAGTTTGCTCAATAAAGTAGAAGCTCTTTGTAAAAAGCTGTTTGAATGGCACTTTCTTATGGTGGAGAAATGAATAGCAGGTTGGACTGAGGAATCAGAGAGCTGAGTTCGAAATCCAGTCAAATCCGTTACATTCACTTACGTACTAATACCCTTGGGAAAGATATGAATTCTCTTCTCCCACAGCTATGGATAAATAGCAGGGCAGACTGGGTTCTATACCCTTAGATGGTAACTGGTCTATTGCAGAAAGAAATGGCAACCTACAGTGGGAGAAAAAAATCTGCCTCATCAGTCATGTATCTAAAGATACGTGATTGCCTAAGTGTGTATCACGCATGACACATAACAGACTGACATTTGCTGAACGAGTACAGTTTAGGAGTCGAGGTCATTCTTTTCTAGGTCAAGCTGAGAACTTTTCAGCATGTGGAATTTCCTCTGAAAGAAATTCATGAGAGCAGATCACTGTGAGAATCTCACTCACTTCCAGAGCAATACAGTTAGGTACTCTTAAAAGTAACTCAATGTAAGTTAGACAAATAAAATTTGCCAATTACTCTCCTGCTATCACTGATTTTTTTTTTTGGGGGGGGTCTTTATGGGCCAAAATCCCGAATATATATATATATATATATATATATATATATATATATACACACACACACACAGACAGAATGAGGATACCAAAAGGCTGAATCCAAGGTAACGTGATTGGCTGGTTGTCTAATTTATTTTTCATTTAAAAGCTCTA